CACAGGTGGTCCAACTCCTCATTGCGCATTAATAAAAGGGCATTTCCAGCCCTTTCTGTAAGGTGGGCTAATTTGGCGAATTCCAAATGGTTAATTGGCAAATTCCAAAGCAACATACTCTATAACTACACAATATGAGACATTTTTTAAAAATTTTGCCCGTCCAAATTATATTTGTTTTTTTTAACTATATTCCTACCTTATTCATTACTCATTAAAAAAAATCATGCATTAAAATTTTAATTACTATGATAACTCTTATTTAGATTATTTAATAGGATATAAATAAAAAGATAAAAACATTTTTAAAAATTTAATGTTTCAATTAATATTATTCATAAATTAAATTTTATTAGTTATGATTTATGTGCAATCCACAGAGTGGATTGATTAGTTATATTTGGTTTTGTTTGTAACTGTCTTGGTTATGGACTCGACAAGACATTTCTTTCTTTCTTTTCTTGTTTCTTTCTTCTTCTTTTCTTCTGATGTTTCGGATGTGAATCTTCCTACGCTAGCACCCTCTCACAAGAAGTTCAGAAAACATCTTGATTGATAAAATGAAAAAGAATCAAAGGAAGAGAAATTTGAATCTAATTAGGTAAGTGATATGCATTGTACAGAATTTTAAGAATGAGTTATTATTTTCAAAACTTTCAATAGTACAATTTTTATAAACTAAAATTTCCATGTGTTGCATTGGTCCCAAAATGTATATATTGAATTGAATTTCAATTACTGCAAAACCACAAAACATGCATTGATATATTAACAACCCGAATTATAAGTTAAATATCCCAAATTATAATACTATTAACAAGCCAAATGCATCATAAGCTTCTTATATATAATTATTTTAGATTTAATCTTTTGTATTGATATATTGATGGTGATTGATACTATTTGATATTGGTGTTTATTGAAATTTTTTTCTTCATATAGTAAAGGGAAAATATTAAATTCTAATTGTAATAGTATACTTAGGTTATACTACTCTATTTTTCTTTCATTATACTCAACTCAACAACATGTTTCCCCCATATAAGGCATAGATAATTGAGATGAGTTTACATTTTTCGTGATTTGTAAATAACGTACTTGTTATAGATTTAATACACACCGCACAAACACGTATGATACCTTGTTGTGTTTCTTCGCTAAGTGCACTCAGAGAAAATACCAACAAAGTTAGTCAATAATGTATTTACTAATCACCTTTATCCATGCCAAACGATAGGTTTGGAGTTGGACCAATTAATGAAGAACACAATTTAATAAACTTGTAGCCTGTGTTATTGATTGCTTGTTTCATAAGCCTACAGAAGTTTCGCTGTCTATACCAAGGATGACTATTTAACCACTCATATCTTATGCGCCTATGTAAATAAATTGATTCATATCACAGTCATCATTAGACATCACTCACCTAAATTTCCAAACACCCCTTGCATTTGTACAAGGTTTTACATTTTTTTGTTAGAAAATAAAACTTTATCCCATGTTTTCACCAAAAAGTCGTCAAAAATTTATTGTCTGAATAAAAATAAAAATAAAACGTTCACGGTCATACGAAAAGACTTTGATATGCTTCTGGTCCTTTTAAGTTTCAAAGTTTTTACTACAGTCCCTCAATTTTAAAACAAACATTATGTCTTCCTATCTTTCTAAATGAAGTTGTTTTGTTTCTCTGTCTGATAAATTTTTTCAAATTTAATTTAACACAATATTTTGTTGACATAAAAAATTATTTACCTGAAACTGATAACTGCTAGTTATATAGATGTGTTAATCACTACATTGGTTGATTTAGGAATAAGTTTTGTATAGAAATATATAATGGAGAGGCAATTAATTTATGTTAGAAAATTAAAAAGAATATTACCGATTTTTTTACTTAATTTGTGTGATGAAATCAACAATTATAAAACTAATCTTTTATTTGCATAATATGAAGTGGGGGAAAGCAGAGCAGCAACTAGGCGGACAACAAAGCAAGACTGGCCAAGTTGAGGAATTGCTTTCTTGAGAACAATTTGATAGGCAAAAAAGAAAAAGAAAGAAAATATTGTCCCAAACCTAATCACAAATTAAATATAACTTTACAGAAAGTAACATGTATAATTTTTTGTTTAGGGGTGTTCATTTGGTCCAAGCTCATTAATTAATTAGTTAATAAGCTCACATGGTATATGTAATAGAAGTTTTTGTTTGTAAAGGTTCAATTCTCATTGACATTCATGGAGAAAGATGTTTTAAAGGGATCAAAACAAAAATCTCTCTATGACCCAACAAAACAAAACAAAAAATCTCTCTCTCTTCTCCTCTACATCTCGGAGGGGCAAACCTAACCCTAATCAGATAAGTTTCAGTTTAATGCAAACAATAATTAATTGACTTTATATATATACACATATACATGTATAAAGCACTTGCAGTATTTTATCTCAAAGGTGGAGCATCTTACGATCGTATTTGAGATGAGATTTGAAACTCTCTTCAAAAATTGAAACATCATCAGCTACGAAATGATTTTAATTTTATATCATATATCTGTTAAAATTTAAAAAAATACCAGAATATTAAAAATAAAATGTTAAGATGTAGTATTAACTCAGGGTATGGGTAAAGGTCGGGGTGTACAAGACAAAGCTGAAGCCTACCTAAATCCTAAATAACTCTTTAAAAAAAAAAAACCTAAAATTTAGATGTAAAAGATCCAAGTGAAAATTGAGCATTCATCCATCATCTTATCACGAGCATTCCAAATTCAAATACACCGGCACTAATCAGAAACTGTCATATCATATGTCACTCTACCAGCTGAAACACAAGAAAATCAACTAGTTCTAATGGTCACTGGTCAGTACACTTCTCTTGCACTGAAGCAAGTTTTGTTACCCAAAGAAAGTCATACCACATTCAGACACAAAAAATCAAAAAGAAAAGTGAGAAACAAATAGCATTTCTACCACCGTAGGAACCTCCCCTGGGTTTTCAAACCAAGTTTGCAAAAACAAAACAGAAACTTCGTTCTATAAAATCACAGCAATAAGAGAAGAATGAGAAACTGTGTGTAACAAGGAGAATAATGTAACAATTCTTACCTGGTGAAGAATAAAAAATCAGAACACCGAACGTCTCATTTCTTTACCAGTACGGATCAGCGAATCATTAATCGCCAGTACCTGCCTGTATGTACAAAGAAAAAGCAATGCAAAACGAGAGGCTTAATTAGATAGCTTACGAAGTGCGAAATCATCGCCGGAAATCATAGAGGAAAACCAAACCGCCGTGTACGTACCGACGAGAAGCGAAGCACGACGGCGATCGGGCAGAGAGAATCATTCTTTCTTTTTATTCGGTCATTGAACGGCGACCAAGGGCATTATTACCATAGAAACTGCCATGCCCTGGAGAGAGAAGAAAATATCTATGACAAATGGGATTAAACAAATTGGAGAGCATAAATCCCGTGCCAAAAGGTATTGTTTAACTGTGACAGCTGTCGGCCACTCATTGAATGTGTTAGTAATTACGTCAAAAAAAGCATTTTCAGTCCAATAAATTTGGAAGTACTCCTAATTACTTAATTTTAATGGATTTTTTCCCATATTTTATCAATTAAATTAACCAAAAAAAATAAGAAAGAATCTCATTCAGCCCCCAAAAAAATTATTTTTTTATTTTAATAACAATATATTTCATATTAATCCTTATTTATAATTTATTTTTTTTAAAGAGACTGGATGTGATTTTTTAAAAAAATAATGAATATTAATTTGTCACACATTGAATACTCAAAATTGTGGTGCAATCCGTACTCCTTTAAGTAAAAAATTGGAGATGATTAAATCTTCAATTGAAACTAATAAACACATAATTATATTAATTTTTATAGGTTAGAGATAATGTAACTTTTAGTCTTTTATGTTTGGAAAAATTATTAATTTGATCTTTCAAATTTATTTTTTATTATTTTAGTTCTTAATATTTGTTTCAATTATCAAGTTAGTTCTTTAAATTTTATAAGATAAATTAGCCCTAAAAGAAAGATGATACGAAAATTAAGTTGCTAACATAAAATATACACGTGGATTAATTAATCCACATAAATCAAATCTCCTAATTCTTATGAGTGATGTGTTATTGATTTTAATATTTTATAATTCCTAATTAAATTTTTGTGACTTTTTTAACCGATATGGCTTTTTTAATATGTTACTTTTTAGGAAATTTTAGCTAATGATCAAAGAGGAAAAATATTTACTAATAGATTTCAAAAAGGACCAAAATATCTTTCTACAGAAGAAAAAAAATGCTGCTAATCGAAATATCTATTGGTCATATAACTTTACTTGTTAACTGCTTAATTTTACTAGTTAATCCCTATCAAATGTTATTAAGTAATGTTATTTGGTTAACAAGTAATATTATGTAATTTATAATTTAAGATAATAATTTTACAAATAATGAATTTGTTATAGATTTGATGTTAAACAAGATGTCAAGTGTAATTTAACAAGTGACAATGGGCAATTAACTAATGTGTTGAGAAATTATCAAGTAAAATTACATAATTAATAAATAATTTAGTTGCTTTTCAGACGGATTAAACAAGTCTTATCACTATGTTAACAAGTTAAATTATGAAATTAACAATTATTGTTACAAAATTAACAAGTAAAGTTAAAAAATTAATAAATAATGTAGTTAGGTCTGGGGAGTCACAAAATTAACAAATAAAGTTAAGCAGTTAACAAGTCATATTGTATAATTAACAAATAAAGTTATATAATTAATAAATCTTTTGATTAGCTACTTTTTTCTTTTTTTCTTTTTTATTTTTTTGCAAAAAAGTACTTTTGTCTTTTCAACTAATAACTTTATTTCAATTTAGTTCAAAAACCCTACAAATAATTTTCAGATTTTTTTTTTGAAATCTACTGATAAATATTTTTTTTTTAAGTTTTTAGTTAAAATTCTCCCTTACTTTTTTCTTGTCATCTAAGTCAGCATTTTCGCTTCACATGTTATTAATCTATATGGCTGCTACATTATCATTCTGATAGCCATGTCAGCATTTTTTTTTTAAGAAAAAAAATTTAAGTAAGTTAGGTTTGTGGAGTTATAAGAGCTAGAGCATGTCTTCAAATTTAAAAAATATTTATAAAAAGCTCACAAGGCCTCAAGCAATTATTTTAATACTATTTTATTCGATGACGCTTTCATAAATTATAGAAACATTTTAATTTTTAACATGACTTAATTTTAATTTTTTTGCACGGTATTTATACCATGGCATTGTATTTAAAAAAAAGAATACTTATAAGATATTTATAAATCGCCAACCAGTAATATAATTCTCACATCGATGATGGAATTTAAACTCATAACCTAATGAATTATGGGCCAAATCCTAGTTAACTCTATCAATTTTATTGATTTTGCATAATTTAATCGTGTTAATTCTTGTCATGAGATTAAAAACTACATAAATCGTGTTAATTTAAACATCAAGGATTATTGATATGATAAAAATTAAATTTATAAAACAAAATCAACTTTCCCAAATATAAAGCATTAAAAGTTTATATTAATTTTAAATCACAGATTGACAAGTATGTAGAAACGCATAGGTGGCAGCCATGGGGTGACGACATGAAAAATGCCCAGAATTATGGATAAATAATCTTCACTTTCATAAGATAAGTTCATCTGCCCGGAAAATTTTCCGTAAAATAAGTTCAGATAAGGAGCTTTGACGTCTTTTTTTTTTTTTTAACATCAAGACAATAAACACAAATATAATTTGATAATTTATAGTGATAAAAACAATCTCCGCAATATGTAAATGATAATGAGCTCCTGCAGAATGATATAATTCTTTTCAAATTTTTAAAGACTTTCCTGACATTATTAATTTTGATTAAATGACTAAAATATTCTTAATTTAAAAATAAAAAATAACACCCTACCCAAAAAAATAAATATTAATAATTATTTTAGTTTAAACAATTACTATTTTTTTTAGTAATAACGAGAATATCATGAGAAATTATAACTTTTTCAGTGAAAATTTTTGATTAATTGAAATTTAAGTGTTGTAAATATCCATGGCCACTTTAATTTAAATAATGATTAATTTTCTTCGAACAATAACTAACACAGAACAAGCAATTACAACTTTCTTTATGTAAATTTTGTTATTCACTAAAGTTTAAATGTTATGAATATCCATGACTATTTTAGTTTAAAAAATAAATACTTGTGTTTTAGCAATAATTAAAATAGAATAAGTAATTATAACTTCTCTTGAGCAAATTTTTGATTCATTAAAGTTCAAGTATTGTACTTTATCAAAAAAAAAAGTTTAAGTATTGTAAATATTCATAACTATTTTAGTTTCAGCAATGTCTTCTAACAATGACTAAAATAGAATAAGCAATTACAACTTTTTTGTATAATTTTTTTTATTTTTAACTATGGGTATTTTAGTGATTTCACCAAAAAATATTAATATGAAAAGGTCCCTAAAAATTTGAGAAGAATTGTGATATTTTAAGAAATTTTATTATTATTTGCATATTTGTGAACAATGTCATTTTTCCTAATTCATATTAGAAAAATATTTAAATCTAACTCGATAACATGAAATAGAAAAAAAAAAACATTCCATATAAGGCATCACTTCATATATATATATATATAAGGAAAAATTTTTATGTAGACTAGGTGTATCACATCATTTGTAGTCTATCCAATAAAAATATAACATTTAGATGTTATTAAATATAAATTAATTATGATATTAATAATAGTAGAGAGATAAAAAATAAGAAATCAAATGTGGATTTCATTATGAGAATAAAATTAATTAAAAAAATGCCATACAAAATTTTATTTAGATCATTTGAAGTATTTTAATTAGATAAATTATAAATGATATGATGTATCCGGTTTACTTAAATATTTCTTCATAAATAAGAAATCAATGGACGTATAAGATAGCTGTTTATAGTATTTTTATTTGTTAAGATTTTTCCATTAACAAGTAAAAAAAACATTATTTTTAGACAAAATTTATTTTTTTACATCCAATCCTAAGATAAAATAATATGATGAATACATCAATAGGTAAGAAGTTTGTGTTTTGACTTAATTGGTAATTTTGAATTTTAGTCCTGAAAATACAACTATGATAAAACTTTATAATAAGGCCTGCCACTTGAAAGGGTCTTTCAATACTTGATCTAGATTAGTTTTAGATTATTATTAAGTCCCCACAACTTAATGTGAGGCAAGCGTAGGATACTTGGTGCATGAGCAATAATAATAGGTAACATGATGAATGAAGTTAACAACTCAAAGTTATGTTCGCCAAATGAATTTTCATTTAGATCTTGAATGTACTTTCAAATGGGCACAATACAAATAATATTTACATTAAGATGGCATGTTAAAATTATTTTTCAAATACCAACTAGATATGGCGTAGGTAATAATAATTTATGCTATTTAAATATTACTTCAGAATTCAATTCTTGTAGTTGTATATGAAAAGCATCTCTTGAGAGAAGATAACCTTATTAAATGATACTTAGATTTCTTAAGAGAATAGTATCATTAGTATTGATGGCAAAAATATTTGAAAAACCAAAAATTTCTTTTCAAATAGGAAAAGCTGCATGCAAATACAACATAAATCTATTATAAAATAAGTTATATTTTGACGGATTAAATTGTATGAGTTGCATAATTATGGGTTGGAGATGAGCTAAATAAAATATAATTAAAAGCCACTTGCTAAGATCTCTTCTCATCCGAACATTTTCTTTCATATATATCTCCTTGGGTGACAAATATCCCCGCAGCTTCCACTTGACTCATTTCCCTGTTTTTATAACCCCATCAATCGGTATCAAATTTAAAATCTAATCATCAATTAATTGTAGATAAGCAGGGGAAAAGACAAGGCACCAGTAGGGGTTATTGGCCCCTCCTAACTTTTATTTTTTTAATAAAATAGATGAGTTATATATTTTCATCTCTCTAAGGTTGACATATTATAAAAATTTTAAGACACTAGATGAAATTTTTATTTCAATTCTACATGTGTACTAGATAAAATTTTCATTGCAATTCTAGATGTGTTCTTTCACAAATGTATAGTTCAATTATTTCATAAGCATATAGTTGTTATAAAATACACTTATTTTTTACAAGATAATGTTATACTTACTCTTAAAACATTGATGTTATTTAATTTTAATTTTATTTTATATTTGATAAAAGAAATTATAATAATTATTGTTAATAAATTTTGTCAAGCATTGAAACAAAAATTACAAGATATATTGAAAGTTATCTGTTTAATATCTATTATAAGATTACTTATCTCAAAGTTAAAAGGTTATGATTAAGATATATTTTTTATTAAAAAA